TATTACAACAATTATTATGGGAGGGGAGATACAAGTTTTTAAATGGGGATATTGCACAAATATAAACCCTAAAATACTATTACAATCCAATTGAATATTGTGCGAAATAAATAAATATACAAATATTAAAAATGCAATTAAAATGTATTTATGCAAAAATGTTTTGTATTTGTTTTTTTTTTGTATGAGAAAAAATAATTTATTAAACCCTAGAAAATAAGGAAAAATAATATTATTATTTTTGGAGGGATGAAACCCTAGTTTTTGATTTAAAATAAAATAATGTTTTCTAATATTATTTTGTCCATTTTTTATACAAGAAAATAATAAATAATATTATGTACAAATATTAAAAATTAAAATATGTATGAAAATAAATATTTTATGTGTAAAAATAATAAAATAAAAATGTATAGTATTTATTAAATGTATTTACAATTTATTATAAGAAAATAAGTTCTATTTATTCTAATAAGCTATTTTCTATGTAAAAAAAATAAAAATAAAAAAATTGCAAAAAATTAAGAAATTATTTTTGTGATTTTTTAATGTTCAGAAAAAATTATTAAAATAAAAAAACATAAAAATATGAGAAAATATGAAAAAATATAACAAAATAGGTCAGGGGGTGCAAAAGGAATTCCGGGGGGTGTGAAAAGTTAAAACAAAAACAGCTCAGCGCGCCAAAAAGCCCAAGGCCAGTCATCTTCGTCCCTGTCCTTCAGCTCTGCACGCGCATCATGTACAAACCTGTATCTTGCTATTGCTTGCATAAAAACAAAAACCCATAACATAAAATATGTAGCTTGTAATCTCACGATTCCAATGATATAAAATTTGTAACCTAACTCTCAAAGATCAGAGAGAATTTAATCAGCCCTAATTCGTTACCTAATTATTTCATGAACTTCAATCTTTAAATTCTCACAACATGGTTAATATAAATGGCAAGTATGCATATGTGCAGCTTTACCAAGATAAGAGCTGCATTTTTTCTTCACAAATCGTGGCTTGAGGATGCCTAAATAGAGAGATAGAGATTTGAAAAATACCTCCTTCAGCTGGATTTGGATATGACAATGTGGGGACTTTGAGTGAGGCCTGAGGATCGTGTGAGCTTCCTTGAAGTTCCTTCAACCTATTCCAATACCTAGCTTGCTTTGTGGATGGCCAGAAGTCTTTGTAGAAGTTAAGCTGCAAGCTCCAAGTTTGAAAATGACAATGGCTGAAACAGAGCTCACAGAACCAGGACAAGGGCTTGGATAGCTTTGGTAGGATATATGGAAGATGTTTCAAATGTTAAAGGGAAAAACGCACGAGCAAATAATGAGCTTGCTATGATTTTGCAGAAACTGGAAGTTTTGGCAAAAAAATGAGGTTTTGGAGTTTTGGAGAGTTTCAGATGTTTAGCATTCATGTTCTTTTTTGTGACAAGTTTGTGGATGTGTATATAATGATACAAGTCCACTCTTTATCAGCTTGTACCAGTTCTGAACTTTTGGCCAACTTTCTTGCATTTTAAGAAAAGTTGAAGTGACCATGCTAACATGCCTGTACTCGCTTGCTTGCTAGCTGCAGAGAGTTTGTGTACATTGCTTGATATCTGTGGAAATTGCTTGCACCAAAGGAACAAGTCCATGGCTCAAGGTTGATAAAGTTGCAAAAAGCTTGCTTTACGAAAATGGCATTGTGAATTTTTGGCCATTTATGGAATTATTTCTTGTACAATGCTCCAAAAGCAAAGATAAAGCCCTTATTCTCTAAGTTTGCATTTAATTACGGAGTTTAGAATGAGTTTAGGACCTGTAATGCAAGGTACAAGCATCCTTGATCAGATTTGCAACTTGACACTTTGTAAAAATGGCTTGATCAAAAGTGACAAAATGCCAATTTCTCTTCTTCGATTCTCCCTAACCACAAATGATCTTGGAGAGTTCTTGGACATTTTGGAAAGCTTGCAATGTGCTCTATAATCAATATTTGAAATGCATTTTGAGATACCTCTTGGAACTAGGTGAAAAATGTCCATGAAGTTAGGTAAAAAACCTGCCTAAATTAGGGCAAAATTTCACTAAGTTATTTAGTTCATGAACCCCTATTCACAAATTCATAACTTGAGATTCAAGCATCTTTTGGGAAAACTTTGTGTATCAAAGTTGTAGATTTCATGGAGGACTACAAATTTCATGTTGGAAGTTTTATTTGAATAAAATTTCATCATGGTGAAAAGGTGGTGGAAAGTTGGGAAAAATAAGAAAATTTTCATACTTAGAAAAATTCTAAGTTATGAAATTTTTCAAATTCAAAACCCTAAATTCCAAAATTGGTTTTCTTGATGAACAATTTTCATGTTTTGACATATCTTGATGAATTATGACCCTTGGCACTTGATTTTGACCAAAAAGTCAAAGTTTGACTTTTCAGTGCATAGTTGACTGGAAAATTCATCTGTCAATCCAATGAACTTGAGATCTTTTGAACCATGTAAGTAAGTCAAGATGATGCCATTGAGTCCTTGAAATCATGTTTGAACCCAATTGGTCATTGGCTAGGTTAAAAATCAGAAATTGCCCTTTCTCAGTCAAAACCCTAATTTTGACCATTTTGCCCTTTTGATGATTTGATCAAATATCTTAAGGAGTTGTGATCCAAACTTGATAAAATGATACATATGAGTCTAAAATGTGGTTGTGGATAAAAAATTATGAAGTTTGACTTTAAATTGGCCGTTGACTTTTTCCCCAATACAGTTGATCTTTAGGTCAACTGTCCAATTGACTGAGCAAAAATGTGATTCAAGGCTTGAAACTTAACATGAGCAATCTTAGGGGTCCAAGATGGTGTATGAAAGTCACATGAAGCATTGATGGTCCAAAAATCCTTGTGCAAACTCAAACCCTAATTTTGGGTTATCAGTGCAAGGGGATGTCTTGAGCTAAGCAAACCCTAATCTTGTCTTGAGTCCAAGAAGTCTTGTGAGGAAAATATTGATAAATGAGAGGGAAAATTTGGGGTACACCAAGAAGGGGTTTTCGTTTTGGTTGATGTTTCCTTAAATAATGTTGAATTTATTTATTTATGTTTGAACTATGTTATTTTATAAAAGTATGAGATTTTTATGTTGAGTTGATGAAGTTTGATTTCTGCTGCTTAATTATAATTGAAAACGATGTTTTTATGAAGATGGTGTAACACTATATGGTAAGTTTAAAAGATTAATTTGCATGAGTTTTTAAAATATGTGTTTTTGGGGTTAAGGTGTTACAGAGTACGCATCCATGACACATGTTTATATCCAACTGAGATGTCAACCAACATGTTTATAGAGGGGAGTGAATATGAGTCTCTAGAGCATGCTTTGTTCAGGTTGGTGTAGACAACACTCATTCTCCATTTCCCAACGACTTCCTTGACTAACACCATATTTGATAACCACTCGATATACTTTAATTTAGAGATGAAATTAGTGTTTAGCAGCCCTTAACAAGTTTTGCCACCGCTTTCGCCTTCTCGGGAGACTGTCCCTTCATCTTTGTGATATGTATCGGAAGTTGGAATCCATGTTTAACTAGTAGCATGTCATATTAGGATCCATCACCGACATCTCATAAGGGGAAATGGCGAAGAGGTCAACATTAAATTTCAAATAGTTCACCAACCCTTCCATGGCTGTGACAGGAAGACAGACTCCCATCTTTACAAATTTCAAAGGGTTGTCATTCAATTGAATGGTCTCAAAGTTTCCATTTGGGATTAGTATCATATTTCTAGCTTTGATCCCAACCGAATGCATTAACTCATCATCTAATGGATGTCCCTCACTGCAAACATCAAAGTCACTTATGCTTGTTGTTTGACTGTTCTACTGACCTCCCTCATGGGAATGACGAGGACTACTTTAGAATCATTTCATGTATACGACGTGATACAATGAGGTCGACTGTGACCATAACAAGTTTACCAGAGTCATTGTGATAACTTCACGTGCATAAGGGATGCTATAGCGTCTACGACCACCCATAATGGTCGGTCTATAATGTCGTTGTAGAAACTTTCATATGGAACCACGAAAAAAATGGATACTCACTGTCATTCTCTCAAACCCTTTCTCCAATGTGACCACTAGGAAGATCCACCCACATGGACGAGTAGAGGAGTCATTAAAAGTGAGTAGGCTTTGGTCTTAGCAGGGTTTTAGATCTCGTTGTCTTACACCGAGTTTAACAAGGATCTCGAGGGAAATTAAATTATAGGAATTTATGTCGTCCACTAGAATTCTAGAGACAAAATGCTTAACAATGATGGTGGTGGTGATTAATGGAAGAACAATATTGGAAATTCCATCCACTTTTTCATTATCATGAAGTCCCAAGACCTTTTTATCATACTTTTGTTCCTCGCATAGGGAGGCACATCTGTCGGACGTTAGAGACAGATATTTGGCTTGTGTGAATGAGTCTTCCCAGATGATATTAATGGATAAAGTTGAACTATGAATCAATCCAGAAACCTTAGATATCATGTCCATCTGATCGTGACCGTTGAGTCAGTAGAGATCTGGATTGAGTTGAGTCGATGATCATATCAAAGATATAACTGTGGAATTTCCTAGGAATTAATTGTTAATTTCCATAAATGACACCAATATTCCGTACCAGAATCATAATTGTCATTACAATTCTATAATGAGACACTACTACTTGCTCCGACGACGCTGCTCCGACAACGCGACGATGGTGGATGAACCTACAAAAATACACGCTAAAAAAAGAGAATAATAATAAGATTCACCATTTCTTTTCTTTTTCATGTTCTATTATTTTGTTTAGATTTATAATGAAAATGAAAAATTGGATTAGAACTTAGAAGTATTTTTGGGTGGGTATTAAGTATCTCTTTATCTATTTTCCAATTCGAACAACCCTCATTCCCGCTTCTGTCAAATTCCGAAACCTCACCAACAAACCGTATGCGCGGCAAATGCTTCATCTCCTATCCCAATGGAACACCCACAGTCGTCTACCCTATCGGACCTCCTTCACTCCCCTCGACCTCTCACTGCCTCTGCCTCTCTCCCATTTCTATCCACACCCTCTCCCCCACCACCTCATCCCCCCTCCGACCACCGCATCCTCACAACCCTCAACCGCCCAACCGTCCTCATCGGTACCCTAACCCTCCCCACTCACACCACTCCCTCCTCCTCCCATTTCCCTTGCTCATGCTTCAAATTCTCCGACGGCTCCGCCACAGTCTGCTGCGACATCCTCTCCTTTCGCCTCGCTGCTATCGGCAAACTAATCCGCATCACCGCCTGGAATTTCATCCCCTTCAAACACCCCGGGGATCATGGATCCCAAACTGCCTTCTTGGAAATTATCAAATGGTGCTTTTCCGATCCTAACGAATCAAACCTCGCAGACATCTTTCAGTTCACGCCAAATTTTCCAGTAACTAATTGCAATAACGGCGGTAAGAATTTCAGGGCTCTCCACGGAGTAGTGAAGTCAGTCGGTCCTATTTCAATTGTGCCTGCAAGTGGAAGTTACGATTTGAATTCAAGTTCTAAGGTTAACTATTTAGGTTTTTTGGTACAATTGTTGTGTTGTGAGTGTAGGTTATGTGGTTCTAGGGAGTTAGTTAACAACTTGAGTAACGGTTCTTTTGAAATTGAGAGTGTTAACGGTCATTCTTTCACCAAAATGGAGATATTGTATTTTAATGGCAATGCATCTTCGTTTCACCCTGTGATTACCAAGCTGATTGGTAACCGTGTTGTGGTTTCGGGTTTGAAGAAAAAGTTAGTTTGCTTAACTAAGGAGGAGTCTTGTTTGATGTATTTGACTTTGGATGAGATGGTTTTGCGTGTTTGTCCGCGTTTAGAGAAATTGGCGCCATGCTTGAAGCGTGAAATTAAGGGGAAGGGTGAGTGTGGTTCTTATACTGGTGTAATTAGAGGTGTATACATGAAAGGGATGGCTTTGGAGTTGGATAATGATGTGTGGTTTCTTTTAACCGATAAACTACATACTATGATACATGGTTTACGAGTTGGCTCCATTGTAAGTGAAGTAAATTCACTGTTTTGTATACCCAATTTGTTCAGTGGCGATTTTCTCGTGTGATTTTGTTTTATACTTTGCTTCCTTAAAACACTTTTGAGCTTTACCCTTGACTTCTCGGTCATATTGTGTAGATATCTATGAGAAATGTCCATTTTGTGGATCCAAAATTTCCGTGGACTAAAGTTGTAGTTCTTGGGGCATGTGTCAAAACTAGCATTGTCGTGGAAGCCTTCTCCCCATTGGAAACTGTGTATGTGCTTACTACCAATGTTGTGCTTGCTTTTTTCAAATTTGTGTTGCATAAAATGCTCAAATTGATAATATTAATATTAATATTAATAATAAATGTTCTTCGAACATTTCTGACTTACTAAAGATGTGGTTGCTTATGGACATGCTCTGGAAATAAGTTTATAAATCATTACAGTATTGCAGGTGTAATGTAGTTTTGCAGTCTACAAGTATGCTAGGAAAGTTCATTCAGTCATTACCATTTTCAGCAAGACTCTGGTATTAAATGTTTGATTTCTGTTTAGTGCATTCAATTTGGAAGTTTAGTAGATTGCTGGAATGTTTATTATTTTGCTTGGCAGGGTATTACTTCTTGTCTCAAGCTTACGTAAAAAGTTTGCTGGTATGCTATCTGACAAGGATATTTTGGGATCAAAACATGTAAGCTGTGTGACGATTTGCTTTCATGGATTTCTTAGCTTGGCTGATGCTCTATGTTCTGTTTCCATTCTGATGAGCTGTTGTTGCAAGGTCTTAACAGAAAGAAGGGCTAGCTCAGATGCATGCTAGTTCACTGTTACCTCCTTCAGTATTTCAAACTCAGGTATGTTAATAAAATTACCAGTTGAGGCAACTTTGTTAAAATCAAATTGGCTCCATTAGTTTTTTTGGATAGAATGGCTCCATTAGTTTGGTTGTAATGCTCTCTCTTGGCAGCATGGTGCTTTCATGGGGCTGTGTAGACATGACTTTAATGGATGCGGTAGAGAAATGCATTGCGGTTTTCTGAAATTGGTATCTTAGCTGTACTTATTTAAATTAAATTTGCTTTGGGTACTTTATGACATTTGGATCTGAAATACTCAGCAGAACATATTTGTTATTTCACCCTAAAAAGTGAAAGAATAAGAAATTCAGTCATTGAAGGATATACATATATACTTATACTACCATCTCAATGATGTTTTTACAGGTAGTACCAATATCCATTTTTATCCATCACTATATGAACACACTACAAAGAATGCTAAAGCCAGAAAGTCACTGTAAGTTATCGTCTGTTGGCAATGATTTCAGTATTTTATCGCGTCAAGCCAGATATAATGGTAGATCAGGTAGAAGGATCATTTCAAGTGAAGATGTAGGCATTGTTTTGCTTGGATATCTTAAGGTTATTTGTTTAGTTTACCTTTTATCTTAATATTTGCAAGTGAGCTGATTTTGCCATGGCTTAATTAGTTATGTTTTGTTCGTAATGCGTGTTACATAAATATTTCCTTTGATCTTTTAAAAATGGAGCATCACATTTTTTTAAACATAAATCTTCGGTTGGTAATATTTTCATACCTACTACTTATATTAGAGTCCTTATGATCTTGCTTTAAATATTCAGATTGATCCTTTGACTAGAAGACTGCAGTTGGTTGATGCCACTAGTGGCATTGATGTTCTTATACCAGACCTTCCCTTGACTTGGAATTCCAATGACATATTTGAGGTCACATTTCTCTCTGCGTTCACATTACACTCCCTAGAAAAGTTATAATATGTCAACAAAAGTTTGTATTTCAACTTCTATTATTTTGGATTTCCAGGTGACAAACTATGATGTTATTGTGGATGGCATTGACGAACTTGCGGATCAATTGGAATTTAGTGAATCATTATCGTGCAGAATGATCTTTAATTGTATCCAGATGAGAAGAGAATTTAGCACATCGTTTTTTGTTTACTGTCTTTGGAGGAATGTTAAATGCAGAAATTCCCCCCTTTACCCTTGTATCAATAGTAAGAATGAAACTAAGGTACTTGAATCTGGATCATACGATTTGCTTAGGGTATCTCACAAATTTCCTCCACAAGAAAAGGTACGTTCTAACTGAATATTCAATAAAAAATTGCAACCAATAATTGATTTATGAGCTAAAATAGTTTTTTCACTTGAGCAGTTTCCTAGTAAAACTAAAATAGATAAGAGTTGCAGATGTAAATAATATAAATCAGTTAATAGAATTGAAATAAGCTTATGCTAATGCTATGCAATTAATAGTGTTAGCCCTTCCAAAATAGGTATCCTGGAAGTTTTAGTTTCTCTAAATTGTATTAATATTTAGCTGGCAGGCTATAATATTTTAAGTATTTTTGCTGCTTTGTGTATCATAGCAAATTATTAAATCTGACTTAGTTATGTTAATTTCAACATGTACTTTTACAGGGTTAAATTTTCTCCGCTGTTGAATTTTTTTTTTGGTTAGTAGTGCTTCTGTTTAACATACCTGTTGAGGAAGACAAATTGAGGAAGATGATGTCCTTCTATATTTATCATATTCATCAAGAGCCACAATATCTAAAACCTGCTATAATCTGTTAGGTGGATGCCTGGATATTATTTTAAAGAAATCTCAAATATGACCGTAGGATTGAAAATCTATCAGCTACACTTGAAGCATGGATGAAACACATACTAAATCAAACCTTATGCCTGCATTATGATATATAACAAAATAGGAGATCCAAGAATTTACTCCTCACTTGCTGAGCAGTAGCGTTTCGTTAAAGAGGCTTTGATATTCTGCCAACAATCAAGTCTCCTGAGAGTAAGCTATTGTATATGCTCGGAATGTCTTTTATATCTAACAAGACCCAGATTCCTCAAATCTTTTACCTACCTCTTAATTCAATAAAATTTCATTGTGATATTGTCAAGGTCTAGAGACACAAATAAGCATAGCCAGTGGGAAGAGCTGTTTAAATGCTTCAAATCCATTAAAAAACATATTGATATGACATTGTAAAGATCTAATAGTATAGAAAGGATATGTATGTTTTTATTCCTCGAACTTTAGTATGAATTGCAATGCCCATTTTAGAATGTTCTCTGGCTATATAGTATCAGCAATATTCTATTTTTCTTTTATAGTATGTACATGTAAACAAATTTTTCTCTTATAGTATGTACATGTAAACAAATTGCACTGCTAATGCCCCTATGTCACTTCTTGCAGCATTCTAATAATGTGAGGTCAAACAAGTCAAGTACTTTTGTTGAAGCTATACTTTTGCCTTACATTTTATTGCTTGACGGGAAGCCTGGACTTTCATGTCCATGTGGTGTTTATGGGGACCAGACAATAGAACTTTCAAAAGATTGCTTCAATTATAATAATGAAGAGCAAGATTCCATTAAGAGGCAAAAACTTATTAAGAAATCAGTAAATACATCAACGGACGAGTTTCACACTTCTGTCTATGAGCTGAATGCCTGTTCTAATTCTTTTAGAGAATCAAAAGAGAACAGAAATTGTGACGGTTTAAGTTCTCTTGATATATCTTGTATGGTTACTTTTAGAGGCCTTAAAAAGGAGAATGTGGTTTGCCCGGCTCTGTTGCGCTCTACATCACCTAGGAAAGATACGGGGTTTAATTCAAAACCTACTGCAAAGAATGTTTTGCTTGAGTTCTCATCTGATAGATTTTTAAAGTATCAGGTAATTTTCTTATTCTCTTTAACTTGCCTAGGTGCTCCTCTTTGTGATGCGAGCCTGAGTATTAATTCACTTTCTACCGCTTTTCAGTTGTTGCAAATTGGTGGTTATTATATCATAGAACATAATGCAAAAGATTGCTTCAATACTACAAATGATGCTGATTTTGGTAGCAGTGGCACTGCTAAATTTGTTATTGATTATGGAAAACATATCTGGAGCCTTGCATTTATTTCTGATGATGTTCTTTTCAAAGATAAATCAGCATATGCACCTGTAGAAGATTCTTCACCTCCTGTCACAGATGTGGTTCTGCCTAAAGTTCAAATTGAAAAGCAACTGCTGAGTCCCAATGGTGATTCTTCTGGTGTCTGTTCGGATGTTTGTCTTTACCTACCTGTCAATCTTACAGCTCTTCTGGAAAATATTATTATAGAATCAGAAGATGGTAAAATCAAGAAATTTGCAACATCAGAACAGAGTGCAAACTCTTGTTTCAACATTGGGACTGCAGTGGCTTTGCCTAATTTTTGTTCTAGGCCTCAGAGTTCAAACTTGTTTCCCGAGGGTGAGTTGATTTCTTTCAAGGGAAATGTAGTTGACATTCACGACTTCAGCTCTGGTTTCTGCAATTCATGCACAAGTGGGGCAAGCCTTGATGCTCTTCAAATGAAAGGCCTTGTTGGGACTCGAGGAAATTTATGTATTCATGTCTTAGTGCATCATGATATTGTAAGTTTTAACTGCAAGCCATCTTACTGTTTATATATTTATACTCTATACTCTTTTTGCAACTTAATCATGTTATTATTTCTTATTAGGTGAGTATTTTTGGTTCTATAAGTAAACATGCTTTTCCTACTGGTTTTGGACCTGGTGCAACTGCAACATTTCATCGAATCCTTGATGCAAGGTATATTCATTTGACACCTTTATCAAAATAATTGGACTCCTGTTCTTGATTTCCTTCACGGTTAAAGGGCTCCTGATATACACAAGAGATCCCTTGTTATTACAGAAAATGAAGAAATTGTCTAATTAATAGAAAAAGTAAGAAGTATTACATAAGAGATCCCTTTTAATCCCAGAGCAAAACTCCTCAAAGATTAGACAATTCTCACTCTGCCCAACCCATAAGGTTCCTAACAGAATAGATAATGAATGTCTTCCCTCTTGCTATCCTTATCCTTCATATAACTGTTATTACCCTCTAACAAATAGGCACTTCCACATATGTAACGAACTTTCTTGTTCAACACATTTTTTGGGCTAAGGCCCAAACCCGTTACCTAACAGCAGTTGTGAACTATTTGTAAAAATGTGTTCTCACTGATTTAGATGTTGTGAGTACTTTTATACCACTCATGTTCTGTCATTTGAATTGTACTCTTTGGTTTTCTTATGTGTATATGAAGGACTCGTCTTTCCAATGGTACCATAAATTGTAAAATTTTGCAACAAAGTTGATTGTTTGTCTCTGATTCTGCAGGGCCCAAAAATTTATGTTGCTGCCCGTGTCATTCATTGAAATAAATTCGATAGAAGTATTTGATAAAAAGTGCAGTGACAGGTTGTCCACTTTAAGGCCTCTAAAAGATGCATATGGTGCATGTCAGGATTCCTTTTCCTGTTTGATTTCCCAATTGCTTCAGTGCCAGAGTCAAAAGCAAATAGTGCTTCGATGCAGGGTATTTTATTCTACATATCCCTGAATATTTTTGATCTCATGTGTCAGTAAATTAAATTTGCCCGTTTTTGGTGAACAGGTTATCGCTGTTATTGTTTTAGTTCTAGAGAGGAAGACTAAGAATTTATACGCAAACACAAAAATGAATTCTAAGGGGATTCTTTTGGACATTCCACTTGCTTGTTTTCTGTTGGGTAAGTTGTTTGCATTAATAACTTAGTCCTTTCAACATATTACTAAGAGAAAGACAGCTAAGAGTGCTCAATCACTTTTTATGCTCTGAACATGCATGTACTGTAGGCCAAATGTGGTTTAATTTCTTACATTGTGATATTACCAAGTGTTCAGTAGACATCCATCCTTGTATGAATGAATTGATCCTCATACCTTGCATTGACTTTTTGGCTTGGTTGAGTCTCTTTTTTCTGGGTTCTAAAGTTGACCATGTGTCTTCTTTAGTTTTTGATTTGTAGAATTTGGGCTGGGTGTAACTCAGCCCCATAAAACTAGTTTGTAGAGTGATGGATGTTCATTTTTTTGTAAACTCTATTCACACCTTATATCTACTCAATATGGACTTCAGTTTCTGTAATACCTCCCCTCAAGTCCTGCACAATAGTGACTGTTGCGTGGGTAAAATGGTGTTTGGCCTAATAGATCTAGGATAGGCTATGATACATACAATGTCTGAATTTGGATTGAATCCCACTAAACTTGGCTTGTAAGGCGAGGTATCTATTTCTAATTAATGTAGGACTTGTATTCCAATACAAACATGTGGGTTCCTTATTTGCATGTATATAAGTGCAGATAAATATGTATTCACTTGGAGGCTATTTGATTGATGGAGAAATATTTGCTTAGGCACAATCTCAAATGATAATTATTTGCGCACACATAAATAATACATGATTTAATTATTTTGAAAAGATATATTATATTATATTATTTAATTTTATTTATTTATTTATTTATTTTATTTTTGTTTTTGTGCCTGCTTAAGTTGTGTCTAAAGTTTGTCCCCAAGCAAGTGTTGCTATTGATTGATGTTATCTCTGATATACATGGTATTGGTTACATATTGTGCACTTTTCAAATTCTATTTGGAAGTAAGTCTTGCTTATGTTTTATTTGATAGCAAATTTTACCAAAAAAAACTTTATTTAGACTAGAGTTGCATTCAACCAAGGTAGCGTCATGCTAGAATTCTGACCAAGCAACCTTACCATCTCAACTTTGTTCACATTTTATGTTTTCTGATTCTTTACCATATTCTAACATTTATGACTACTTTGCTTGATAATATTTTCCTTGGTATTTTGTGTGTTACAAACCAAAAAGTGAACAAAAACAGAATAATTTTATTGAAAGAATGAGAAAGAATAGGCTAGAGATCCTCTCCTCCGAGGGTTTTCCCTACTACAATAGATCACTGCTCTTATGTCTTTTTTATTATGTATACTAATTCCTTCCAACTAATAAACTAACTACTCTAACTAAATTATCCATATCTTCTAGACTTACATCAAGTTTCTTGCAGATGATGGGTCATCATCATGCTGTTGTTGGGCTAATGCTGAGAGGGCCGCAACCTTGTTGAGACTGCAAGAAGAATTGTCTACATCCTATCATCTTGGTAAAATTTTGAAGAAGCACAAGAGAATTACTGTGAGAAACCATGGATCCTTTATTGATTTTCCATACCAAGATGTTGTAGTTTCTGTTGCGTCTGGTGATACTCTTAACAGTTCCAACGAAAATCTCATCAAGCACATAATCTTCAATGCATGTGTTGGAAGAACATGGGTGAGTTTAACAGATACACAAAGAGGTGCAATAGTATTAGCTTAGCATCGTTTGCAGAGAAATATAAAGTTGAGACTAGACTATGTATCTTGCCAATTTTTTTTCTTCAATCTTCACATTCAAAATAAAATAAAATTTTTTATTTTGTAAAAACTAAGGAATATTTAGCTATGCAATTTGGTTTGACATTCTATGGTTTATTGCTTGAGGCCTGTTCCCTTTGTCTATTGGTTTTAATTAGTTCAAAATCATACCATTTTCCATCCTGCATCTTCTCACTGTCATTTTATTTTGCTCCTTTTCTGCGCAGAATGTTGTAGCTAGTCTGATGGATTCAGAGGAGGTTACACAGTTGAAGAATGAATATGTTACTCAAATTGTGAATATGCAATCCATGCAGAATATATGGGCTAAAGAAGTCTCTTGCTCATGCGCTCTGGCTGAGGCAAGAAACACGATTCAGGAACTTTTGAGTAGTTAGTGATACAGATCAAATTGTGAGGAAGAAAATTACATGTCAATTTATATCTGAAAAAGTTATCAAAAGTCTCATATGTAAATGATGTTGTAATGTTGTAATTTTTTTAATTAAGTAGGGTGTAATCGGTTACAGGTTTGGTATAATTGGTCACTATCCTAGTCTGTAGCAGAAGAATCAAACAGAGGCTTCGTGTAACTGGTTACCACCCTCCAGTTGTTTATATTTTTGGGGTAGTAGCTTCTTGTAACCGATTACAGGTTTAGTGTAATTGGTTATACGGTTGAAAAACCTGTTTTTCATTTTAGTTGGTTAATTACATTGATGTGTATTGTATATACCCTATGTTGGGTCATTAATGAAGTACCACTATTTTTCATCCTAATTATCTCTAATTCTCTCACTCTCCATTATTCCCTTGTTCATCATTTTTCCTTGTGACTGGGGTTTGCCGCAACATTTGGCATCAAGAGTTAAGTTATTTGATCGAATTCTTTCCATCCCCAATGAATGTATCACTGTATATCTCCCAATTCTCAATGCGAAGAATTATGACAAGTGGTGCAAATAAATGAAGGCGTTGATTGGTTATCAAGATGTTTTTGAAGTGATCGAGAATGATGTTAATCCACTTGTAGAAGGAACAACAACAACATAAAGAACCGTGAACAAGGAAGAGAAGATGAAAGATTTCAAAGCTTTATATCTCATTAATTAATGTGTTGATGATCTTGAAAAAAAAATTATGCAAGAGCTGATATGACAAAGGTGGTGAGGTTACAAACTCATAAAAGACAGTTGGAATTAATTCAGATGGAGGAGAAGGAAACCGTTAGTGAATTTACTACAAGAATCACAAGATTGGTGAATCAAGTGAAGGCTTGTGGAGAGACAATCACTGAGTAGTATGTGGTTGGTAAAACCTTGAGATTGATAACGTCAAGATTTGCTAACGTAGTGGTTGCTATTGAAGAGTCCAAGGATCTTTCAACCATGAGCAAAGAAGAGTTATAAATTTCTCTTGAGGCTCATGAGCAATGAGCAGAGAATGGAGGAGAGGAATGTTGACAAAACAAAGATTGATATTGCTTTGCAGACACATTTCGTTGTAAAAGACAAGATAAGAGAAAGTGGTTCATGAATAGAGATAGATGAAACTGTCACAACAATGGTGGAAGAGACTCTCAAAATTCCAACAATTCAACAATTCAACAATTCAATAATTCAACAATTCAAAAGGGTGAAAATAGCTGCAACAGAGGTGCTGGATCAAACAATTATAAAGGTGACAACAATAGAGGAGGACGTGGAAGATGGAAAAATGACAAGAACAACGTCCAATGCTACAATTGTCAAAATCTAAGACATTTTTCTCGTGAATGTAATGTCAACAAGAATGATCCATAAGAAGCTGAAACAAAGTTTACAAGACAAGAAGATGGTGAGAGCACACTGTTGATGATGACTGCTGAAGTAGAAAACAATACAGGAAAAGACAATTGTGATTGTTTACAAGGAGAGCGTAACCGATTTCCATAAGTTGAAAATATGATGGTCACTACGCAAAAAGATGCAGAATGCAGCGATCAATGAAACATTGACTCCGGGTGTTCAACTCATATGGCAAGAAGAAATAATTAGTTTGTAAAAATAAATCAAGCATTAAAAAATCAGGTGAAGTTCACGGATGACAGCACACTAGCAGCAGAGGATATTGACCATGTATCAATTAAGAGGAAGAATGACGAGCATTCTTTGATTAAATATGTGTTATATATTCATGTAATCAGGTGTAATATTTTGAGCATTGATCAATTGCTTGAAAGGAATTACAAGATTCACATAGAAAACAAAGTGTTGAAAGTTATGGATGCAAATGAAAGTTTGATCCTAAAGACCCATATGGCTCAAAACAGAACTTTCAAAGTTGAATGGAAAGTAATGAAGCATACGTGTCTTGCAACAACTACTAGTAGGGAATAACGAATATGGCACTATAGGATTGAGCATTTGAATTTCAAGGATATCAATGCTATGCATAAAAAAAACATGGTTACGTGGCTGCCATTGATCAATATGCCAAATGAAGCATGTGAAGAGTGTGTGTTGGTCAAGCAATACGGAGGCAAATTTAGCAATATGCAAGATGAAAAACCAAGGGTTATTTTGAGGTGGTGTAATCGAACTTTTGTGGACTGATGCAAGTTGACTCAATCAGAGGCAATATGTACTTTGTCATTTTCATTGATGATTTTAGTAGAAAGTTGTGGGTTTACTTGATCAAAATAAAAGATGAGGTTCTTGAAGTGTTCAAATCAATGATAGAAAGACAAAGTGACCATAAAACTAATGTTAGAACAAAATTGTTCATATCCCTTGAGTTTGCGTGATAACAAAGTCCTTAAAGATTAAATGGGTATACTAACATATGTTCAAGTGTGCAGGATCATAAGCTTAAAAATCAACTTGGTTTTGACCATGATAAAAGCATATCAAGAGAAGCTAAAGGACTCAGATTCTGAAGGATCAGAATTTGATGACTCAAAACTTAGTATCTCAGCTCCTGATGACAACTCAGACTCTGAAGACCCGAGTTAAAGGTTCTCAACTTCTGATTCGTACGGTCTCCAAAGCATATCAATCTTGCCAAAACTAGATTATAGAGAAAATCAACTAGAGTTTCTTAGTGCAAGGCTCAAGGAAAATTGACATGACCTCTTAATTCTACTCCATTAACTTGGTAGATACCTAGTATGAGAAACACGTACTCGATAAAGCTATTACACAGAGTTTGAAGATCTTATCAGGATCAACTTCCAACGTCTCTCTTGGAACTGCTTCTCAACATAGTTCACTTGTGCAAGTTATCTTCTAACATCTCTTTTCTACCTCTATATAAGAAGTTATATATACACACACACACACACACACACACACACACACACACACACACACACACACACACACACACACACACACACACAACAACAACAACTAATCAAGACGAACAACATTGAACGCAACTTTGAGCTGGAGTTTTTATAATTGTTTACTGCATAAGTTCTTGAAATTTCTCATCTTTGTATATCTTAGAAATTTTAAGTGTTTAAGAATCTTTGTGTGTGTGTGTTGTATCGTTTCTATAATTCTGATTTTACATCAAGTATAGTTGATCTATTCTCATAAGCTATTATGAGTACAAACTTCATCGTCAAATATTTTGAGTGATGTCAAAATTGGGAAAAGCTTGCACTTATGAGTATCGGATAATATCCTTATGTATTGTGGCACTTCTATGCATTAGAGGTCTTAGGAATAATTAAAAAGAATCTTGAAATTGATCCAAGTCATTAAAAATAGCTTTTTGCATGATTTTTTACTGCATGTGTCGACACATCCGTATTTCTGGTCGACACATGTAACCCATTATTAAAGCCTGTAGTTTCTGTAAGTCTTAGGCCGACACATGCATGATTCAAGTCGATACATACTAAAACTTTTCTAAAATTGTAGAAATTTTTATTTTATGTGTCGACACATCCACTTTTCAGGTCGACGCATTTACTATCGTTTTAAAACCTATAGCTTTTGACTTGTTTCGGTCGACACACGACTTCTCATAGGTAGACACATACAATTTAAAATTCACGTATGTGTCGACACATACGATATATAGATTGACACATACTGTTATGTTTGGATAATTTCTTTAAATCTTTTTATTCCAAATTTATCCTTTTTGCCCTAAAAGTTTCAAAACTATAAATACTCTTTCATGCATCATTCATAACTTGTTGAAAACCATAAAATTAGCCAATTTCTCTCTTCATCTTCAACCTCCAATCTATGCATACACACTGATATTACATTGTAATGATGTTCTATTGGGGTTCCATCTAGACGAGGATTACTAGTGTCCAATTGTGTATTGGATGAAGTTTTGTAGGAGTTTTAATCCAGGAAAAACCCCGGGTCTTTCCTCCAAGATCATTGGTTGATTTACGGGTTTTCGTGAAAGACGTTCGAGAGGTAATTGCGGTAAAGTGAACAACCTTGGAGTGCTTAAAATCTTTGCAAGGAACCTTGGAGTGCTTGAAATATTTTCAAGGAAGTAACTTGGAGTACCAGATAGAATCAAAGTCTTGTGTTGCAATAGTTTAAAATTGACGGCGCGCGAAATCTTTGGAGATAAAGAATGTAAAGGAGTTGCAAGATCCAGAAAGTAATTTTTCATCTATTGTGTTTTGGTCTCTCTCAAGATCAAAAGTGGAGAATGGGTTGAATCAACAACAAGCTTAGGGTTTGTGAAATTGATCTTGAACACTTCTCTTGTATAAAAAATTTTGCATAGTAAGAATTATCCCAATTTCATTGGAGTTAGACGCAGACTTATCCACACGCGAGGATGACAGTAGGGAACTGTGAAGATAAATTTCTTGTGTCGCTTTTATTTTTTCTTTTTACTCGCTTTGATACTCATTGATCAATTTGTCAAATATCATTGCGTTATCATTTGAATTGTAAGAATTTTCCTAATCAATTTTGTTTTTATCTCAAGTTTTGACATAGCTTATAATCACTTTTGATTATAAGTAGTTTTGTGTATCAACACAATCAAAGGAAAAATTCTGAAAATTCACTTGCACACCAAGTATTTGATAAATTAACTAAACTAGCTCTTTTAATATTACCATTGGAAATAGCCTTGCTAAGTGAAAGTGATTAAACAATTAAACGATAAATAAGTTTCAAGTGATTCAAGCTTATTAATTCTATTATCATTCATATTTCATATTGAATTTTATTTTACGGTTTGCATATCCGAGCTTCCCGATAATGTTCGTATATACGATAATTTGAAAAGGCTTTCGCGTCGTGCTTTGATAAACCTTTTCAAAACCAAATTTATTTGAAATTTTTCAAAGGGGTATCTATTAAATCCCCCTCTAGATACGTTATCACCATCTAACAAGTGTCATTAAGAGCCTAGTTCATTTCGGCTT